GTAGTATACGTATATAATAATATATATATATATATATATATATATATATATATATGTGTGTGTGTGTGTGTGTGTGCCGCATAATACGTTGATGTTTAGTGTTAAGCACAAAGCTAAACAAAGGGTTATCTATGTTCTGGCCACAATGGGTATCGAAACCCGGTTTCTAGCTTTCACTGCTAAATTAGGGACTGCTAGCGCAGATAGCCCTCGTTTAGCTTTATGCGAAATTCGAAACAAACCAAACCAAACTAAAGGTGATATGAGTTCATTTAATTGCTAGTTAAACTGAGAAAGTGTAAAATGGTTCGAAAAATCACCAGGAGATTTTCAGTGATCAACAGATTGTATTACATGTGTGACTAAAGTTTGCCTGTTTCAATAATTTTGTAATCAACTGTAGAGCAGCCCTGTGAAGTGCTATTACAGTAGTAACTTCGTAGCTCCAAGATTGTCCCGTACTCTAGCTATACATTCAAAGTCTTGGAAACTGTATTATGTCGAGTATTATAGTAGTAACTTAAGAGTTTTAAGGCTGTTTTTTTTTACCTAAACTGTCCCTTAAGCCTTGTAGAGTACTGTCATGTCGAATATTATAGTGGTAACTTGAGAGTTGTAAGGCTGTTTTTTTTACCTAAACTGTCCCTTAAGCCTTGTAGAGTACAGTCATGTCGAATATTATAGTGGTAACTTGAGAGTTATAAGGCTTGTTTTTTTACCTAAACTGTCCCTTAAGCCTTGTAGGGTACTGTCATGTCGAATATTATAGTGGTAACTTGAGAGTTGTAAGGCTGTTTTTTTACCTAAACTGTCCCTTAAGCCTTGTAGAGTACTGTCATGTCGAATATTATAGTGGTAACTTGAGAGTTGTAAGGCTGTTTTCTACTCAAACTATTCCTTAAATCTTGTAATGTGCTTTTACTGTATGAGCTTTTTAAACATTAAACTGGTCACTGTAGGTTAGTTCATTGTTTTCTTTCTTTAAGTCTGAAACGTATTTTCATGTGTTAAAAATTAATCGTGATTAACAGTGTTTCTGGTCTCTGTTTTATTTTTTCCTCTCCCTGTATTTTTCAGTTAAGTTTCGTATGTAACATATAATTTTTTACAATTGTGTTTACGTGTAGTAAATGTTAAAAGCCAGAGGGTGTTCATTAGTTTAGCTTGTCATAGGGGAAAAGAAAAGGTTGACAGTTGATTAGATACAGGTGTTTTTATTTGTTATTTGATGTTTTAAACAATATAAATGAATTTATACCGATTACTGTCCTCACAGGAAAGTCAAACATAATCATTTGAGCGATATACCAGATTTGGGAGTACAGCAGAGGTTGAAGACACTTAGTCTGTAAGTATTTCTAACTATTGTTTTGTCATTAAAGTAAATGACTGTCTAATTTCAGTGGAAATGTTGGTGTTACTATAAGGTAAAATATATGCATAGTGTTTATTTTGGTATCTATTAACCAAAGTTCGCTCTATCAGGGAATACATTGTCGCCTTTAGTGTCGCACACATATGTTGAAAGTTGGAGTATGAAATTACGAGTAACGTAATCTTAGAGGGTGCAGGTGCACAGACTTACTGTATGACCCATGACAATTTCTAAGTTATTCACATATGTCTCAAGTCCTAATTAAATTGACCATCCACATAAACCATATTGGGCCACAACTTGAACACTGATGGAAATCTGTCACCGTTGAATGTACAAATGAATCTTCTTGTATCATCATCATGGACAAGATTAGTGACAGTTTGATTAGTTGTATCGTTTTTATGTTAATAAGGAATTAATTTTTGTCAGTGAAAAACAACCTTGAATTAACCGACTTATTATGGCAAAGCACGTGTATCATATTCAGTATCACCTATACCAGTCGGTGTTGTGTATACAGCTGTTATGACGGAGCAATCGTGATGAATTCTCTAATTCAAATTCATAACAAGTAATCTCTAATAAATGTGGCCAAACCGATCGTTCGACAGGAGTTGCAATTTAGTGCTAGGCATGTGGTCTGATGGGAAACCGACGTATGTTGTAGCAAACCATGGTTGACGTTATGGTGATATATATATATATATATACAGTCTCTGGGTTTTGGTAAGCAGGAACTATTACTCACCATCAAAATCCCATAAAGAACCTCGTGATTCATGTTACAGCAGGGATCCTGGAATTAACCAGCCAGGAAAAAACATGCTGAAACCGAGAGGCAGAGAAGGTACGGTGTTGTTTTAGCAGATTTTAGTTCCCTCGAAATGATTTATCGAGCAGGAGAATAATAGTACATAGAGAATTGGATATTAGTTTGCCAATTCAAGGGTCATCATATAAAAGCTGGCCGCCATTTTGTAGCTTGTCATGTTTCAGTCTTTGAACTGGTATGTGAATTTGATTCGGCCAATTGAGGGGGAGGGGATAAAGTAATGGGAGAAGCGGAGGAGAGCAGCCCAAAAGGATGTAATAATGATTAGTATGTGGAAAACGTGGGAAATGTCACGTATAGGAACTGAACAAATTGTTAGAAGTACCAGATGGCCAGTCCTTTGTGAAATCTGTTTATTTTGTTACGTTGTTTAATGTGATTCGTTTAGTGTAAAGTCATGGCTTTGAAGACCTAACAAGGTTTTCCTCATTAGCCAACTATACTAATGTACAACCATTTTAAGTAAGGCTTAACCATTGTTTCAAGAACTAAACAAGACGTCAAGGAATGTATAAAAAGAGTATATATATATATATTTGTGTGTGTGTTTTCACTGATTCGTGCTTTTCACTTGATGCTAGAAAACTAAAATGTGCACTTCCTTTAAATAGTGAGCTTTATTACGTAATTCATCACAAGAAAATACAAAAAGGCATAACGTTACAACAACTTTGATGAACAATCTGCATATTTGGCAGTTACGAGATTATTAAATAATAAACAGTAGGTCGCACTTTTCTTCTCCATGCCATATCTACAGTGTAAAGCTCTCCAGCATCCTTGCTTCTCACTCGATTCACGTGACCAACGCTGCACCTGTCAAAACAGATCCATTTTCCGACTGATGACGTTAACTATAGATGACTGTTGTTTTTTGTTACTTCTACACATTGTTGTGAATTTCTCTCGATAGTGGAACGGAGAAAAATATTATAAGTATGTACACTGAAAATATACAGCCTTTAACAGAAACAGTTTCCTTTGTAATGTTTTGGGTAGCCTGCAAGTCATTTAAAGATAAGTATTAGGATATTTGTACCCCTCCCCCCGACATACATGTGACAGTTATTGTAATTAGGGTCATCAGAGTGGCTTCATTTTCTTCCTTATAACACATAACAGCCTAAGATAAGTCTAATACTTGTTTGTTTTGAACTGCACACAAAGCTATACCAGGGTTATCTTCGCCAGCCGTCCCCAATGTGGAAGTGATGGACTAGAGAAAAGGAAGCTAGTCAGCGCCATCTACTGCCAATTCTTGGGCTACTTTTTACCAACAGATTGACAGTCACATTATAATACATCCGTGGTTGAAAGGGCGAACATATTCAGTGACGGGATTCGAACCCGCGACCTCAAATTGCGAGTTGAGTGTCTTAACTACCAGGCCACCTGAGTCTTGGTTGATTGGTTTTAGTAAAAAAAAGTTTTCTGTGAAATAAGGTATATATATGTATATGTATATATAAAGGATTGAGAGATAAAAACCATACATCTTCTGTAATATATATATATATATATAACTTCTGTTTGTTTTAGAAACCATAACGAGATCTATACGATAACTATCGCAGTTTTGGAGAAATATAAAAACCTGGAGATGTTAGACCTTGACCATAACAAGATAGTAGTCATCCCTGTTGGTTCATTTCCTAAGGAAACAGTACTTATTCATTTGTAAGTATTATAAGTCCGTATGTTGCAGTCTGATACGTGTTTTGTTGTTAATCATCTCTAAATATCAAATAATTATCATTTTATTTTAATATTTTGACTGAGAGTAGTTAAAGGATTAATAAAAGTATGTGATATTTATTAGAGATCAGTACTTTCACTGACCGTGCTCAGTAGATGTTAACGATCTGTCATTATATGGTGTTTCTTGTTAACCTAAATCTACTGTGACCATGTCGAACTTTTAGTAAATGATTGATAATTCTTTACAGGAGACATTTTAAAGTAGCTACGATTGTAATTCTTTAATATTGATAAATACGGGCGATTAGTGCTAGAATTGATAGTGTTTGTTCGATACCTGCTTGGCAATTTCATTTAGAAAGTTCTTCGTTTTAATATTAGTTGAAATTGATATCGTGAAAGAGATATGTATTGTATTCTCTTTTTTGTTTGCGCGTGCTTGGTAGTAGATTGTTTGTTTGTTTTTAATTATGCACAAAGCTACACAAGGGCTTTCTGTGCTCTGCC